TCCCACAATGCCTGTTCTAGCCACTCTGGTCATCACTTTGAACTCTACTGCCCTGCCTTCAGGTGACCAACCGTCAGACGTTCCCTTTAAATTCTCTGGGAATTTTTGAAAATCCCCTTCCTGTTTGCTCAGCCAGGCATGGAGTGCTCTCAGCCAATCTTTCCAGGTGACCATTCCTCCACGCGCCAGGTGATCCCCAGTGTGGAGCAATGGCGAGGTGCTGGACCTCATCAGTGTTTGCTGGGAGGAAGCTGTCCAGTCCCAGCTGCGCTCCAGTCGTAGGAATTACGATACCTTCGGGCAGATATCAAGGGACATGATGGAAAGGGGCCATGACCGGGACGCACTGCAGTGCAGGGTTAAAGTGAAGGAGCTACGGAACGCCTACTGCAAAGCCCATGAGGCAAACTGCCACTCCGGTGCTGCCCCCGCAAACTGCCGTTTCTACAAAGAGCTGGACGTGATACTTGAGAGCGACCCCACCTCCACTCCGAGTACCACCATGGACACTTCAGAGCCCAGTTGAACAAGGCAGGAGGAGGAGAAGGAAAGTGGGAGTGAGGGTGCTGAGGAGGAGGAAGACACGCCGGCATCCCTAGATGCATGCAACCAGGAGTTGCTCTCAAGCCAGGAGGAAGGTAGCCAGTCGCAGCGGCCGGTGCTTGGAGAAGGACAAACACCAGAGGAGGTGCCCGGTAAGCGACTTTTATTTTGGGGAAGGAAGTTATTCGGTGTGGGCTCTTGGGGTGAGGAGGGTTAGTGCTACATGCCTGCCTAGATGCGGAATAGGGCCTTGATGTGCTCTCTCACATCGCAGTAATCCGCCTCAGTGATCTCTTCAGAGGTCTCATCCAGAACTTGGGCAATGCGCTTGCACAGGTTTCTTGGGAGAGCCACTGCGGTCCTTGTCCCAGTCAGGCTAACATGTCCGTGCCACTGTGCCATGAGCGGGGGGGGGAGAACCATTGCTGCATATGGGCCAGGGCAGAAACCGCATTGTAGTAGCAGACCCTCCCTTGCTTCCCAGCTCACCCTCAGCAGCGAGATATCTTCCAGGACGAACTCCTGTGGAAAATGTGGAGACAGTGTTCAGTATAGCGACCCCCTGCAGCTGTTGGCTCTCCCCAAGGCACAGAAACCCAGAGGACAGTATGGCCGTGAAACAATCAGTGCCCCTTGACCCTGTGCTTACTCACCATTTTGGGGCTCCCATGGGTTATGTCCGCTCACTTTGGCACGGGCAAATTATGCTATTGTGTAGACTGTGCTTGCCCTTAAGTATGGGGGAGTCATTGCTCTTTCTAGTGTGAACAATGCTGCCTCTGTTACGTGTTGCATTTTGCCTTTACAGATGCAACCTTGAGATCTCAGCTGTCCGTGTTATCACCAGCTGAAAGACTCCAAAGAATTAGGAAGAGGCCACGTAGAAGCAAAGACATGCTGCGTGAAGTAATGCTGCAGTCCCTTAACAAGAATCTAAAAACACAGGAGTGGAGGGAGAGTGAAAGGAGGATCTGAGTGGAGGGAGAGTGAAAGGAGGATCTGCCAGTAGAATGAGGAGTGCTGGCAGCAAAGCACGGATTGGCTGATAAGCATCATGGAGCGCCAAGCGGACTCGATGCATGGCTACAAGCGCCTGGAAGTGGAGCACTACTGCATCCCCTGCAGCCCTTGTCCCAAAACTCTTTCCCTTGTGCGCCCATGTCACCTCCAACCCACTTTCCCCAACATCCGGGTTCTTATCGCCACCAGCTGCCTCCAACACCTGTAGCTTCACCACCCAGTCCTGAAAACTATGACCCTTACCCACTGCACTCAACCCCCATCACCATGCATTATAACCATCCTGAAGTGCAGCACTCATTGCACAGCACTCCAGACAGGAAGGCTGAGTATGATAACAGGACATACGCAAATCTGTGGTTGTACCGTTCCCCACCCCACCCCCTTGCCCTTTCTGTTTCCCAAGCACTGGTGTTTCTTTTCAATAAAATGGATTTTTTGGCTTTGAAAACATTCTTTGTTATTGCATAAAGTAAAAGATACCTTAGCTCAGGAAAGCAACAGGCACTGCAAGTCAGCATAGCAAACACAGATTCCTACTAACATTGGAACCACTGCACCTCACTCCCGTGCAGGGCACCAAACATTACTCGTGGCTTTCAGCCTCACATTGCTCCCTCAAGGCATCCCTAATCCTTGCTGCCCCGCGCTGGGACCCTATAATAGCCCTGCTCTCTGGCTGTTCAAATTCAGCCTCCAGGTGTTGAACCTCCGAGTTCCATGCCTGAGTGAATCTTTCACCCTTCCCTTCACAAATGTTATGGACGGTACAGCACGCAGATATAACCGCGGGGATGCTGTCAGCGGCCAGGTCCAGCTTCCCATACAGAGAGTGCCCTTTAAATGGCCAAAAGCACACTCCACAGTCATTCTGCACCAGCTCAGCCTGTTGTTGAACCGCTCCTTGCTGCTGTCAAGGCTACCTGTGTAGGGTTTCATGAGCCATGGAATTAAAGGATAAGCGGGGGTCTCCAAGGATCACAATGGGCATTTCGACTTCCCCTACAGTGATCTTCTGGTTTGGGGAAAAAAAGTCCCGGCTTGCAGCTTCCTGAACAGGCCAGTGTTCTGATAGATGCATGCATCTTTCCGGGCCAGACTGCATTAATATCAGTGAAACGCCGATGGTGATCCACAAGTGCCTGGAGAACCATAGAGAAATACTCCTTCCGATTAACGTACTCCGAGGCTAGGTGGGCTGGTGCCAGAATTGGAATATGCATCCCATCTATCGCCCCTTCGCAGTTAGGGAAACCCATTTGTTCAAAGCCAGCCACAATGTCATGCACGTTACCCAGAGTCACGGTTCTTCTGAGCAGGATGCGATTAATGGCCCTGCAAACTTGCATCAACACGATTCCAACGGTCGAATTTCCTACTCGAAACTGGTTAGCGACCGATCGGTAGCTGTCTGGAGTTGCCAGCTTCCAGAATGCTGTAGCCACCCGCTTCTCCACCATCAGGGCAGCTCTCAATCTCGTGTTCTTGCGCTGCAGGATGGGGGCGAGCTTCTCACACAGTCCCATGAAAGTGGCTTTTCTCATCCGAAAGTTCTGCAGCCACTGCTCGTCATCCCAGACTTGCAGGACGATGTGATCCCACCACTCAGTGCTTGTTTCCCAAGCCCAAAAGCGGCGTTCCACGGTGGAGAGCATGTCCGTGAATGCCACAAGCAATCTCATGTCGGATGCGTTACTTGAGTCGATATCATTGTCAGAGTCCTCACTGTCAGTTTGGATATTAAGGAGTAACTCAACTGACAAACGTGATGTGCTGGCGAGACTCGTCAGCATATTCCTCAGCAGTTCGGTCTCCATTCCCGCAGACCGAAAGGGAAGATAGAGCGCGCCGTACAAAAACCGTTGAAAGATGGTGCCAAATGTGGACGGAAACACAGGGATTGCTGGATGCGAACCGTTGCATCACGGGGCGTTGGGACAGGATCCAGAATGCCCTGCCCCCTTCCCACAAGCCACAGCACCAGAATGGGAAGAGGTGCTCTGTGGCATAGCTGCCCATAATGCACTGCTCCCCCAATGCCGCTGCAAGTGCCACAAATGTGGCCATGCTAGTGCGCTTGCAGCTGTCAGCGTGGACAGACTGCAGCGCTTTCCCTACTGCGCTCTCCAAAGGCTGGTTTAACTCAAAGCACTCTACATCTGCAAGTGTAGCCATGCCCTTAATGACACTAGCCAATATCTCCGGTCCCAGACACAACCCTAGGAACCTCTGTCTTGCAGTGTTCAGTTATGCCTGCTGGACACTGCAAGTTTCTATGAGTTTGTCAATTTAACAAAGAAATTGATAGACACTAGGCTTGTTATCCAAAGGGGAGTCTCTGACTTTTTTAATCAGAGAATTGTTTTTTTATCACAGAAAACTAGGATCCCTGCCGATCATTACTGCTGATGGATTATGTTCAGTCTCTGGCACATGGATGGGTTTACTCATGTGCACCCTCTGCTAGTAGATCCAAGACATGTGATTGGCTAAAGTTCACTGTCCTTCCTAGATTATGGAGCTGGGCCTATGACTTTTAGAAGGCCTGCAAGAAATTCTTACACACTCAGATAATAAAGACTTCTGAAGAGACCCCAAACTAAGACGGGTTCAGAGAAGGAGAGTGTGCACCATTGCTACTGTTTTGTGGTGACGGCATTGAACTATGATTTAGGAGATCTGGTTCCAATTCCTTATAAAAGATTTTATAGCAGGGAGCTGGAATGAGGTCTCATTATTGAAGCTTCATTAGTTTTATAAAAGCTTTCATAGAATGTCAGGGTTGGAAGGGACCTCAGGGTGTCATCCAGTCCAACCCCCTGCTCAAAGCAGAACCAATCCCCAGGCCAATGCTCAAACCACTGAGCTATCCTGCAGAACACTTCCTGGTACGTTTATTTAGTATCAGATCATTAAAAATTAAGCTACAGCTGATTAAAATAAACAGACCAAGTGCATTTTGCAATGCAGTATCCTTGCCTTTCTCTTTGATTCAAATCTCAGTGGTGTATTTATAAGAGGTGCTGAGACCCCACAGCTCCTATCAAAGTCATATGCCAATATATATTTATGCCTGTATTTGTAATTATCATTTCATGCATCTGAAGAAGTGGGGTTTTTACCCATGAAAGCTTATGCCCAAATAAATCTGTTAGTCTTTAAGGTGCCACTGGACTCCTTGTTGTTTTTGTGGATACAAACTAACATGGCTACCCCTCTGATACTTGGTATCATAGTCTATGAATGTCAAACCACAGTCATTTCCAATGGGTTTCCCAGTTGCCAGTGGGAAATAGGTTCTGCTGTAGTCTCTTATGATCCCTTGTATATTGTTGCAGCTCCTTTGTCACTCAGAACATTTTAATTACTGTCGTATCCTCAAGATGGATACACTATACATACAAGGCCACTGAAAATCTTTAAATTCCTTCTATCAGGTTGGGAAGTGAGTGGTGGAGATGAGTCTAGAAAGGAAGTCAAAACCAGGCTCTTGTACCTATTGAGGTCCACCACCCAAAAAGAAGGTTTGGCTAATTATTGTGTAATCCAAATTAGACCTCTATTACTGTTGGAATACAGACTTTTTATGTCAACTTGTTACACAGAACCTAACCTGCCCCAATGGAACCCAGCATAATGGCACTGGACATAATGGCACATTGGCCTGTGTGGAAGGTCTGGGGATGACGCCTGCACAGTACAACCTGCTGTATGCAATCTATGCTTGGACGTGAGTCACCTTTCTTCTGTTTAAGGGAGGTATCGTGTGCACTGCTCATAGGATGTTCAGGGAGTAAAACCAAATGTTTGTGGTATTCTCCCTAGGAATGCGCTGGTGGTGATTCTGGCTGGATTCCTGATTGATAAACTGGGAAATCACTGTAAGTCCCAATTATTTCATTATAGCTGATCTTTCTTCTTGCACAGAAGTGACCTTTCCAGCTATTCCTTCAATGGAAAGAGATATTGCTTCCCAATACCAGAATCACCTTTTCAGTAAGGTCCTGCGGGATGAAGCAGTGTGGGCAACAAAACAGAGCAAACCAAGGAAGGTACTTCCTTCTGGTGTGGAGAGAAGATGGGTGTAACAAAGGCTGCTCCACAGAATTACAAGCATCAGGGATCTCTGCTGTAAACTTGCACAGCTTCCCCTTTGGCCTGATTGTAGATCACTAGAATTTAGTATGACACACAACAGTTGAGTAAACATTGTTTTAATCTCCTGACACACAATAAAAGGAAGGCAGGTATGTTCAGAGCTGGCAGTGATCCTTTATCTACAAACTTTACACTCTTAATGTGACTGTCTGATAGTCCTGTATTCTTCTCTTCTACATGGCCTTCTATTTGGTATCTGTCATCATGGTATCTAAGCTCCACAACACAATAAGGAATGCAGCCCTGGCCATTCCCTGTGGGGCTGGTCAGCATTCTTGTCTCTGTTTTTGCAGATGAGGACACTGGCACAGAAGTGAAGTTACTTGGCCAGCGTCAAAGAGTCAGTGGCAGAGCTAGGAGTGAGACTCATGAGTATGAAGCTTATAGGCTTGTGGTTGAGCCATTTAATGTTCCCTTGCCTCAGTTTCCCCATGTATAAGGCACACGATAATATTTCTCTCCTCTGCAAAGTGACCTAAGATCCTTCAATGAAAGGGGCTATATAGTAGTAAAATAATATGTCATAGAGTCAATTTGATGGGAGACCCAGGGATAAAAATTCAGAGCTCCTTTCAAATTTTCCTATTGCACAGTAATTTTCTCTCTTTATTTATTTATTTATGGTATTTATCCATTGCCTTTATTTCAATGTGTCCCTGTGTTTTTCTGTCTCCCTCCCTAGTTGGTGTCTTTCTTTTCTCTTTCCTGACTGTCTTGGGATCGTCCATCTTCGCTCTGGGCTCTCACTTCAAGGGAACTCCGTACCTTCTGCCGCTGATGCTGACAGGACGGTTGCTGTTTGGATCTGGGAATGGGTCACTTACCAGTAAGGAATCTGAGAACTCCTCTCCTGGTTAGACCCCAACAATGGGAGGACAAATGGGATTTTTGCCCCTGGGCCTTTGTTCCTAGTCAGACCTTCACCTGCTCTGTGCCAGGAACCAAGCCTGAGTGGTGATGGATGAGGAGAGAGTATTTGGTCTGCCTGCTGGGAGTTGTAGAACTTTCATCTGCCCTGCTAATGTTAAGAACCATCATTTTAACCAGCCTTTGCCCCTTCTGGGAGCAGCAACTGCAATACTCACACTACAGCTTGGCTTTTCAGAAGCCACTTGACCTCCCCCCATTGTGGTAGTGGTAAGGACTATCCCAAAGGGATGCTAATCTGATACACTGTATCTCTACCTCAGATATCCAAGAGTCTTTGACTCTGATCCCATCTGGCCCACCGAGCATGAATTGGAAAATTGCCCCAGGTATGTGTGTTTTAATGCTCTGGGCTTGGTTTCCTTGCATTTGTTAATATAGCCCTTTCTCCTCTGTTCCCACCCCCTCCAAGTTGTGCAGAATCGCATCACTGCCTTCTGGTTCAAGGGGAAGGAACTGGCCTTGGCATTTGGACTGACCCTCTCCTTCTCCCGGCTTGGGAGTGTCCTCAACTTCTTCTTCACCCAGCAGTTTGAGACCCACTTTGGTATCCAGTGGACACTCTGGGGAGGTGAGCTTTTCCTTCTGGCTTCTGCTTCACTTGCCTCTAAGCCCAAGACAAAGAAGCCAAGTGATACTGTCTAACTCTGGTAAAGAATATGCATAGGAAAGAAGTGCGGTTTTTATGCATCCGAAGAAGTGAGGTTTTTACTCACGAAAGCTTATGCCCAAATAAATCTGTTAGTCTTTAAGGTGCCACCAGACTCCTTGTTGTTTTTATAGGAAAGAGAGTGAACCTGGTGTGTGGCAGGTGGGCTGTGTGTCTTCCAGACAGCGTTCCCTTACTCTCCTTCCTGGCTTGAGGACACAATAGAAGATGCTTCATTGCTGGCTGAAGCTTCCTTCTAAAACTGTTGCATTTACCTCTAGCTTTGTTTGCAGCCTTTCTGTGACTTTACAACACTTGAAGGCATGTGTGAAACAGTATTGTGTGTGAATGTATACTCCCATTGACTCAATGGAGTAAAACTGAATTACTTGTGTGTGTGTGTACACACACACTGCTATATTCTGGGTTGGCAATTCACTCTGACCAATTCCCACTGAGTCAATGATAGTTTTGCCTGTAGACAGACTTTAACATGGGTCAAATTCTGAATATTTATAGATTTAGGACCTCACCTCAAGAAAGCGTGTGTCTGTGTGCGCATGCGCGCGTATGAACAGGGGGTGCAGGATTTTCACTTTCCTGGTTTTGGTGCAGTTCTGCTCTGGCCTCCACGTTGTTTGACGATTTTTTCCTTTTTACATTGACAAATGGAATCCCTGTGTAGCAGACACTATGATGTAGAGTCATAATATTGCTAGATGATGATGGTGCCTGGATATTATGGTAGTGGGTGTGTTAAAAATGCCTTGGAGGAGATGGTAAAGAGAATCACTGTGTTTGTACTTTGTGTGGGGTCTCTTGGAGATGGGGAGTGTAGGATAAATATACTTACCAAGTAACAAATCAGTGAATGTTGTACCAGTCCTATTCAAGGATGTGATTCCAGCCAAGAGGCAAGTATGAGAAAAATCCTGCCCCTCTGCCCTACTAAGATGTTCTCTCAACCAGCTCTGCTTTAACAGATTCACCTCCAGATCTTTGCTGTGTACTCGGGTGATAATTTTCCAATTGCAGCAGCATCAGAACAACTTGAGTATCCTACATGTGGAGGGTTAAATACACCAATGCTAAGCAAATGTACATCTGAACAGGCTTTTCAAGTGAACTTTGCTTGATTTTTCCAAAGGATTCAGTTAGAAAACTGGTCTGATTTGCAACAGTCACCTGGGGGCAAATTCACTGCTGGTATAACCCAGTGTAACTCCATTGACTTCTTTCTGAGGAGTTGTACCTGTTTACACCAAGGCTCTTTTGACCTTCCTTCTCTGCAGTTACTCTACAAATGTGAAGCAGACCAACAAGTATGGGAGTTGTTTTTCTCCCCTCCATCTTCTGGAGATAGGCCGGGTGATCTCCTGGTCCCATGGACATTGGGGGTTTCTTTAGCCGTTTTCAATAACCAGGACTATTTTAATCCTCAGCTGGGGGAGGAGGGTATCAATAAGCAGAAATATTAATACTGAAGCATAGAATCATAGAAGATTAGGGTTGGAAGAGACCTCAGGAGGTCATCTAGTCCAACCCCCTGCTCAAAGCAGGACCAACCCCAACTAAATCATCCCAGCCAGGGCGTTGTCAAACCGGGCTTAAAAACCTCTAAGGATGGAGATTCTACCACCTCCCTAGGTAACCCATTCCAGTGCTTCACCATCCTCCTAGTGAAATAGTGTTCCTAATATCCAACCTGGACCTTCCCCACTGCAACTTGAGACCATTGCTCCTTGTTCTGTCATCTGCCACCACTGAGAATAGCCAACTCCATCCTCTTTGGAACCCCCCTTCAGGTAGTTGAAGGCTGCTATCAAATCCCCCCTCACTCTTCTTTTCTGCAGACTAAACAAGCCCAGTTGCCTCAGCCTCTCCTCGTAAGTCATGTGCCACAGCCCCCTGATCGTTTTCGTTGCCCTCCACTGAATTCTCTCCAATTTGTCCACGTCCTTTCTGTAGTGGGGGGCCCAAAACTGGACGCAATACTCCACATGTGCTGAATAGAGGGGAATAATCACTTCCCTTGATCTGCTGGCAGTGCTCCTACTAATGCAACCCAATATGCTGTTAGCCTTCTTGGCAACAAGGGCACACTGCTGACTCATATCCAGCTTCTCATCCACTGTAATCCCCAGGTCCTTTTCTGCAGAACTGCTGCTTAGCCAGTCGGTCCCCAGCCTGTAGCAGTGCATGGGATTCTTCCATCCTAAGTGCAGGACTCTGCATTTGTCCTTGTTGAACCTCATCAGATTTCTTTTGGCCCAATCCTCCAATTTGTCTAGGTCAGTCTGAACCCTATCCCTACCCTCCAGCGTATCTGCCTCTCCCCCCACCTTAGTGTCATCCGCAAACTTGCTGAGGGTGCAATCCATCCCATCATCCAGATCATTAATAAGGATGTTGAACAAAACTGGCCCCAGGACTGACTCCCTGGGGCTGCCAGCTAGACATTGAGCCGTTGATCACTACCCGCTGAGCCCAACAGTCTAGCCAGCTTTCTGTCCACCTTATAGTCCATTCATCCAATCCATACTACTTTAACTTGCTGGCAAGAATACTGTGGGAGACTGTATCAAAAGCTTTGCTAAAGTCAAGATATATCGTGTCCCCCACTTTCCCCATATCCACAGAGCCAGTTATCTCATCATAGAAGGCAATCAGATCTTATTATATTATCAGATCTTATTATAAAATCAGTGAAAACTTGGCCTTACAATGTTTGCAACCCAAACTTTTCAGTCTTGTGCTGATCCATACATTGTAAAGGATCCAACTTGTGGCTCAATGGAGAAGTACTAGTCATGTTGTAAAGGAGAAGCCAGGAAGATGAATTGTGCAGAGGGCTCTGTCATTCAGCTCTCCCTGCTCCAGGGAAGTCCTAAAATCTCTTCTGTGTTTGCAGGTACCCTGCTCTGTATGTTGGGTTTTATTTCAGCCATCACAGTCAGCGTGCTGGACAAAGTGGGCATGAAGCAGCTTGGCTTGGATGGGGTTATCCAGCAAGAGTCCAAGAAAGTGGTACGTGGAATACAGACTGCCTTTTCCTCCAGAGCCTTGAGGTTCTGGCATGGGCTAACTGAATTTTGTTGTCTCTGCTGAGTTTATTTTGTGACTGTAGTTTGCAATAGCAGTAGCTGATCTTGGCCAGAAGAGGGAGCCAATGCCACTTATCCAAGTTTTATATGGTAGTTCTTCATATAAGTCTCTTAGGCTTCTGCTGCTGCAAACAACAAGGGATCGTGAAAATTAAACTAAACAAAGAGAATAAATGTTGCCAGCCTATCAGAGACCAGAGCCAGCACTCTGAGCATGAGGGGTCAGCAAACATTCACCTGAGTTCATTGTGCAAGTTGCTTGTGAATACAGATGAGATTCTAGCCTCCTCTCGTGTGATTTACAGAGTAATCTGGTCAGAACTAGCCCATCTTCCTGCCAAGGCAGAACCAGTCTTTGTGCTACACTCTCCAAGAGTATGTCTACACTGCAATTAGATACCTGTGACTGGCCCATGCCAGCTGACTAGCCCAGCTGGGTTAAGGGCCTGTTTAATTGTGGTGTAGACGTTCAGGGCTCAGGCTGCAGCCTGAGCTCTGGGACCCTCCCAAATGTCAACACTGCGATTAAACATCCTGGTGAGCCCAAGTCAGCTGGCTTGGGCCAGTCACAGGGGTCTAATTGCAGTGTAGACATACCCTTAGTGTCCCAAGTAACAGGGCTGCCATTGTTTCAGGTCATCAGATCCATTAAACTTCAGAAGAGTATACCCTGACAGATCTTAATGGTAGTTTTCCATTCTTAATGTACTGGTTATATTCTGGTATTTCCCTTCATTAATAACTCCTAGTTATACCTACATCCCTGCTGTGCTTCATCCCATGGTTTGCCTCTGGCAGCTGCTAGTTCTGCTCAGAAAAATCTTCTGCTGCTACAGACTTTTATGAAGGGAAGGAAAAGCACTTGACCATACTGCCAGAGAAGGGTGGTGTGTGGGTGTGGAGGGGCACAGCAAATGCTGGAACTCCCAGAGGCGAATGAGTGACGTTTCAGACTCCAGTCACCAGCTGGCCATTCTCATGAAATAGTAGAGGAAGAAGGTAACATCGTTATGAAGTTGGAAGTAGTCTGTATCCTATTAATCTAGGGGGCTTTTCTCTTTACAGCGAGTTCAGGATGTCCGGCGACTGCCACTTTGCTACTGGCTCCTAGTCCTAACCATCATGTTCTTCTACAACGGGGTCTTCCCTTTTGTGGCAGATGCCAGGTACTGACCAGAAAGGTAGCATTGGTGCTGGTAACTGTTCCCAGCACTGGAGCTTTGGTACAGAGCTAACAGTGTCCATCTCCCTCTCCATTCAGCTAGCAGGGGCATCTCAGAGGAATGGGGAGCTTTCCAAATAGCTTGTTCACTGCTGCCTTTGTGAGCACAAAGCCAGAAAGGGAGCAATGTCCTTCTCAAGCAAGGAGCTTAACATTTAGCTATACAACATCAGGGTCCTTTGATTCTTCTCTCCCTTGCACTGTGTTATGCAGCCATCTCTGAAGATGATGTGAGACATGGGGATTTCCAGTCCAAAGCAACCTTAAAGGAACGTGGATTCTTCCAAAACTCCAAAGATTGGGGAAATTCCAAATCTGGTTTCCTGCAAATTAATACTTCTCCCCTGACCTAGGTGGAACAATGGCAAAGAGGAAACCCATCTGACCAGCACCTGAAAGGCTCATGAAGTGCATCTAAATGGAATTGCTCAGCTTCTGGGGTCAGGGGGTTTGTGCTGCATAAATCCATTCAAGTAAAACACTTACTGGAGTGGCAGTGTCAACAGGAGAAAGGTGCTGAGGGCTCCAGTGGGGTCAGATTCATGGCCACTGATGCTGTAAAGTGTTTCCTGGCTAAACAACTCAGAACCATTGCAGCCTTCCCAAGATGCTTTCCAAGACTGCCACACATGTGAGCAGCTGCCTGGAAGGTGGCCAGCAGCCAGCATCTTAAGATAAGGCATAGATTAAAACTGCTGTGCATGGCAGTTCCTACCGCACACTGCCATTTCCAAAATGCTAGAACCTCAGTAGGAGGGAATGCAGTTAGAGTAGCAGACTAGGGGTCGAGAGACCTTGGTTCTGCCCGCCCTGGCTCTGACACAGACTCTATATAACCTTGGGGAAAGTGCTTCTCCTTCCCCATTTTGCACATGGCTATACTGCTACTTTTCTCACAGGCGGCTTGCAAAACGTAACATTAGCAAAGTGCTTTGAGATCTTGGGAGAAAAATGAAAGGAGGGCTCTATATTTATAAATACAAACAAACAGCTCAGCAGTTTGGGGTGGAGAGGGGTTCTTGCAGGCTTGCTGCAGCAATTAACAAAAAAGGTCCTAATATTAGAACCTAGTGAAAGCAAAATACACAGTACTGGGATCTTTGGGGCTCTCCCTGCACTCCCTGAAATGGACTCTCTGGCCAGCTGTCATCTGCTTACCTTACCCAGAAATGGTCCCCATACAGCCTGATTCCTGCACTGCTGTATCCCCACGTTCTATCATGGAGCAATACTCTATACTGCCTCTGGAACAAAGAGTCATGTTTCAAATATCAATTTTGGCAGATTAATTCCAGGCTTGTTTCCAAAACAAGAATCATGGCTCAGTGCCTTCCGTGTCATTGATTACTTGGATCTATGGAAGTAAATCTGCAGGGACAGCATTTTGCTGCCCCAGCGCTACAGAGAAGTTCAGCTGTCCTCAAAATAATTCTAGTCACTTAAAAGCAACCAGTCAAAATCTAGGTGAGAAGAGGGTTTACAAATAAATTAGCTTCTCAAAGCTGCTAAGCAGTGACTGGCCACTAGAAATCTAGGTGCCCTACAAAGGATTTTAAAAACACTAGGTTTATGCCATTTTTGTCCTCCATAATGTACGAAGGAGCTTTTTTTCCGCTGTAGCGATATTGGGGCTTGTCTTCTCTGCTTTTATTGGATATCTTCTTGGAGCAGTAGAGAACTGGAGTGGGAAATTTCTGAGCCCTTAATCAAAGGGTTGAAGTTGTTAAATGCTGATCCTTTCCTCCACTGTTTTGAGTTAATGTATCTAAAAATTTAACATCCCTCTCAGTCTTTCAGTTTCAGGGCTGAGAAATCTTCTACTCCCCCAAGGAGACCACCAGGGAAAACAGGACTCGCTGTTCCTGGAATTTCCAAGATGCATGCCTCCTTCCCCATGCCCCAAAACTTTCAGGCCTCCTTTATCCATCATAAAGCAAGGAAGGACACAAACCTCCCCCCTTCCCCGCAAGAGACCTTTTTGTTCAGCACACCTTTTTAAAAAATGATGAGAATGCAGATTGATTTGAGTTTTTGCTTTGACAAGATCTCTAAATAAAAACTCCCTGTCCAGATGTGTGCTCAGACTTGCTTTGTGCCAAGATAACCAGACCAAGAATCCTAATGTAATTTTTTTTGTCCCCCTCAATTTTATTTTTAGCAAGTTTATCCAGGATAAGTACTCTGGCTACAGTCAGCAGGCAGCCGCTTACATTGCTGGGGCGGTATACGACAGCTCCCTTGTTCTCTCTGCAGCAGTTGGCATATTAATCGTGAGTACCCAGTACTTAGCAGAACATCAACTACATGGTGGATTGTCTGCTGATAGACCAAGGCTTAGTGCAAATAATATTTTGTGCGTCTCTGACAGAGATTGAGTGTTTAGAGCTCTGGAGTTGGGTCATTAGTGATGCAGGGGGTTAACAGACTAGTTTAGAAACCCTGAATACCATTCTGTATTAGGTCAGAAGTGAAATGAGTTTGATCTCTGATCCCCTAGTTCCTGTTGTAGAAGAACGACAGCAAGAGCTGAATACTCATGAGAGTCCCAAGATAAAACAGTGAGGGAAGTGTTGCAGGTCAGGATTGAGGGGCCCAGGCAGAGCTTTGTAAGGGATGAGGAGCAGTAGCTTGCACAGAATCAACTCATGCTTTGTCTAATTTATCAATCCCTCACTTCCGTAAGCACTAAAATGCAACATACTGCCTTAAAACTAAAACCTTGGGGTTTCAAATTCAGGTGATTTGGAACATCCTTACTCTCTGATAGGCATACCAGTCTCTTCAGTCCCTCTTGGTACATGTGAGGAACTGGAAATACTTTGTGAAGTGTTATTTTCCATTAGCTGATAAGTTATCATTTACCAGCACGCATTGCCCAGCTGCGCACATTGAGGAGGAGCGCACTGGAGCCCTGGTGGAAACTGTGGGGGACTCTCGGTAAATCACCTTCTGTTTGTCCTTCATCAGGACTATGTAGGATTGAGAGGTGTGTTTGCAGTTGGTTGTGCTGTGCTGACTCTGCCAGTCTTTGCTCTCCTGGCATTTACATTTGTTCCTCCGCTTGTCTCTACCATCTGGCTGGGGATCACTTACTCCTTTGCTGCTGTAAGTATGTAGAAGCCACAGGATTAGCTGGTCACTTTATAACTCTGGTCCCTCCTCACTCCTTTCCCAACACTGGCATTTTACACTAACCAAGGGCTAAACATTGGGCATGTGTGCATTCTGAGGTCTTTGGATTACAAAGCCCAAAGGATGTAGTCAGCAAACACCCAAAACAGTTTAAGGAACCCATTGGCATGGTCTGTGGGAAACATTAGCTGTTAAGCAGTACTGTCCTTTCATGACATCTTTTGAGCAGGATCTAGAGTGTCCACCTAAGTCCGTTATCTCAGCTCCTCATTGAGATGTTTGACTCTGAATTGTGTGTGCTTTAAGCTGACTGGAGTAGAAAGATATAGGCACTCTCATCATCCATTTACTGTAATCTTCTGGTCTGATAGTGGTCATTGGTGGATGAGTCAGAGGAAGGTGTAAACCCCTCCATAAGGCGTCCAAATGTGTAATGGGGACAACTTCCTTTCTCCCTCAGTCGATCAGCTAGTAGCCTGAAGCTGGGGCTTGAATTGTTAGACTCGTCTAGAAAGTGTCTTGGCAGCAAACTTTTCCTACTTTAACATCAGCCCATTTCATTACTCCTTACAATAGGCGAGTCTGTGGCCATCCATACCCCTTGTGGTTCCCCAGGCAACGTTAGGTACAGCTATGGGGCTGGCAACCTCTGTGCAGATGATTGGAATTGGCCTCTCCAATCTGATCGTTGGACACATTCTGGGAACCAAGTCCAGGTGAGAACTAGTGTCTTTTTTCTCTTAAGCAAAACCCCACAAGTTGTGCTGATGGGGACTAAACTGAGAGCATAAAACCAGTTTTGTTTATGGTCTAAACCAAGCATCATTTCAGGACAGGAAAGTCAACACCATGTGCTGCTTCATTTTATTTGGATGTTATATAGCAAGAGGAAACACATTCTCACATGATCATTGTTTGTTCATCTTCTGGACCCAACAGTGAACTAAAGATCCCAGTATGGCGCTGGCAACAGATGATGATCTTCATGCTGGCAAACACCATTGCATGCATTACTGCCTCTGTTAGCCTCAACGTGGTGGACAGGCAGCAGGTAGTAACATGCTTAAACTTTCATTACCCTCCTACCTCCAGGGCAAGATGCCTTGGACACTAGGTATTTCCTACAAAAAGTGCATTGGGGCAGTTCTTAGGTGTAAACTTAGCTCCCAACATGTTGGTTTGAAAGGGACCTTAGGTAGTGCAGAGTTTGTATAAGGAAGGTTTTCTCACTGACTCGGGATAGGTACTGTTGAGTTGGTCACTGCAGAATATCCTGCAGATACCTACTGCTTTCCGTGTTTTGTTACCATACTTTTTAAGATAGGAGTGGCAATGGTGGGAACTACCAATATCACATATGTTGGTGGCCTAATCACAGATTCCTTCCCCAAGATGGGTTGCACAAAATATTGAAGACCCAAATATCTGCTGAAAAGTTGTCTGTAAGCTACACACATTCTCTAGGAAAGCTACTTGTTTGTTTCACTATCTGCTTCTCTGAATTGCCAGGGTGGGACACTGAACAGAGCAACAAAGCGATCATCTGCAGAACAGGTCAGACAGCCTGTAGACACAGCACCACTCCTGGATGAAGTGGGAAACGAAGGGTTCATCAACTAAGAAGCATCAGGATGCCCTATTTTGGATCCTACAGTGACAGAGTACAACTACAACTAGTTGTTGGCACAGTATTGTCCCTCTTTATTTCCAATTGTATGCTTTTAAGGAATACATTGTAATATTTTTAGTTTTTTTTTTTAACGAGGGTAACCTTATTCAGTCATCCATGAAAACAAGCTGGTGTATGAAGGGAATTATGCATATGAAGGGAAAGTTGTTTTGTTCCTTGTGTCTGGAACAAATCAGCCATATGGTACATTAAGCCAATGATGAAGCTTATGTGGTGCACTTTTTGAAATGGACTACACTACAATGTTTAGAGTCTAAACTCAATCCACCTGAAGTTTGTTCTAAGCAACTATATACCATCTTATAATTCACCTTAATTCATCATTATAAATGTGTCAATGTAAGGTATTTCATTAAAATATCACTGCACCTTCACAGAAAGCTCCTCATGCAGTGGTGTGAATGGGTTGATAGCCTTCCATTTCAATAATTGCTGTTGATTGTCAATGTCCTTTCACAAATTCATTGTGTGTAAATAAGATTGCCACTTTGTCCTGGCAGAGGCTGTTGGGATTGTTTTACTTATTTTAAATTGGCAAGACCAATTATTTGAAAACTAGCCAAACTTTTTGCTTAACACGCCCACAAGCTGCATTATTCAGATACAGCAATGTTACCTTCAAATTGTATGAAACTGTTGATCAAAAATAGTAAATAAACCCCCTTAAAACCTGATCTTATACTAGCGATTGTCAATGCATATTGATCATTGACTTGTACAGATATGTAAACAATCATCTTTACTATGCAACCTCTTGAATGGTATTCTTTTAAGCATTGAGGATGATGCATCAAGTGTATGTTAACTTAATTGTTAAACAGAGCTGAGAGCAACCACTTGAAAGAAAAAAAAGACAGATATGGAATTTGCTGCTTGTACATGGTTAAACAATTGCAGAGTAAAATTACTAACTTCTGTATTCATGTGAGAACAGAAGGTGTACTGATGAGTCCAATAAAGTAACCTTTTCTAAAGTAATTGTTACAGAGGAGAAATCCTCTATTACAGCAAATTTTGTTCCAGTGACACAGCTGAGCTAGGATAAGTTTTTATGTAGCAATTCCCTCTCTGCCTTCTGTTAGTATGTGTACGTTCATCTGACGCTACTCCGACTCACAGTACAACTTAATGCAAACAATGGAAGGACTGGACTTTAGGAACACCTATGACTAAGGCAACTGAAAGGCTGAGGCGAGAGGCTATAACCCGCTCCAGTTCCTGTGGGAGGAGATTTTGAAAGATATGGTGCCCTTTCCTGAAAACTTGATGGCTTATGCTTATACCTTCTACTATCATGAGGCAGTACAATGGAGATACTTGTAATGTGAGCATGTATCTATAGAGATGGTCATAATTGGACTTAGCTTGAAACTTCCTAGTAGCCGAGTGTGAACCTGTGTTGTTTATTTGCCCGCAACAGCTTATTTAGTCTGCAGAAGAGAAGAGTGAGGTGGGGTTTGATAACCTGCAGGAGGGTTCCAAGGACGATGGAGCTAGGCTGTTCTCAGTGGTGGCAGATGACAGAACAAGGAGCAATGGTCTCAAGTTGCAGTGGGGGAGGTCTAGGTTGGATATTAGGAAAAACTATTTCACTAGGAGGGTGGTGAAGCACTGGAATGGGTTACCTAGGGAGGTGGTGGAATCTCCATCCTTAGAGGTTTTTAAGGCCTGGCTTGACAAAGCCTTGGCTGGGATGATTTAGTTTAGCTTTGAGCAGGAGATTGGACTAGATGACCTCCTGAGGTCTCTTCCAACCCTAATATTCTATTATTCTAACCCAGTCCAGCCTTACAGGAACAAAGGACACTGGTCTAGGCAGCAACAAAAGGATCTGTTGGATTCTTGATTGAGTCACCCCCTGGCTGGGATGATTTAGTTGGCGTTGGGCCTGCATTGAGCAGGGGGTTGGACTAGTTGACCTCCTGAGGTCTCTTCCAACCCTCATCTTCTATGATTTTAACAATAGTTTTAGCCACCTATTAGTTGAGGGGAGAGCCTTTGATGGGTTAGTAAAGCAGACCTCAGCTATACTACCCCTTTAAATGCATATTTTTACATGCAATCACTGCTATTCTGCATTGGCATCGTATTACTAGACCTTCATGCTGTAACATTCTGTAGTTGCATTTGGAAATTCATGCCGGGATTTCTATAGTCCAGTGTAGGACACAAATAGTAGGGCTCTGCCTCAGAAGAGTAACAGATGTTCTGTGCCTAGTTAACATCATCATAAGCAGCAGTCTAACACTTCCCAAAAAACATAGCTGTCAGCACTAAGTTATCAAAGTTACTACTTAACATAATGGCCACACTGGGTCAGACAATAGACTGTCTAGCTCAGAGGTTCCCAAAGTGGGCGATACCGCCCCCT